TCTTGTTGGAGAAAATTATCCCGATCAACTGCCTGATTTAGTTGTCTGTCGTTCGCCCAAACCAATGCCAAAGACGCTGGAATGGCAAGGCACACACACGACACATACTTGGCCACAAAAATATGGACTCTTACAAATTTGTTTCTACCATCCTTTATGTTGGACACGGCAGAATTTACTGTATCAAGTTTTTGAGAAGGGAATGGAATGGCTCGAAGCTTATGAAAAACATCTTGCGACTGGGGTACCGATGAATGTACTGTTGCCTCCGATGATACCGACTGAAGAAGAAGTTAAACAGGAGGAACGACGTAAAGAAAAACAAGATCGTGTCATGGCAGAATTGGACCAGAATCTCCTTCAATATGCCCGAAAGTAACTTGGCTCAGTGGGCAACCTTGCTTGGTAATTGCACTAAATTGATAGGTATACCACAAGAAACATCCTCGTGTACCTTGAGGATATTTTATGGCATCATTTGATACCGCCCAATTTGGCTTGATCGAGTATTACGCTAAAGGATCATTATTATGCACAGTAATCAGAATCTATCATGTTTCCATAAGGGGAACAAATCATACTTTTTGACATTCTTTGGGACTTAGGATGGTTCAAAATTCTGTATTATAGCTATATTTATACGTGAAGACGAATAGCACAATTAATTGACAGCCTAACAATTTTTTTGATGAAATATAATTTCATAATAAATTACACAAAATATATAAATAACTTATTCATATTATAAACTGTACAAAGGGCACCGTGCGTATATTTTATATAAATTAATATAAATAAAAAATTGTAAAATAAATTTTGTGTAAGGAAAGAATAAATCTGAATTCAAACTTCGTTGAAAGTAAATATGCTGACGACAATGTATTAAGCCGTTAAGACGTGTCAAATTTTATTTTTATCGTTTTCTTTGCTGGAACGTGCTAAGACGTGTTTGGTTCGAGTATTTGGCGTCATCATGACGTAAATCCGTTCATCGTTTGTTTGTTCAAGAGAAACATCGACCTTGCTGCATTCAGGATTGGCCTGCCGGCATTTATTTACTGCCCATTGCCATTGAAACTTGAGTCTCAGCAAGTCATCTTCAGCTGACATTATGATAATAGAATCAGGCGTAGCTAAAATAAATGTCATTGAAATAGATGGACTAGTCCATTGTAAAAAAGGTTCAAGGCTTTGGTATTTTGATATTTCACCAGCAGGTATTGGAAGCCACGCAAATATATTTGGTGATAAAATTTGCTGTATGATAGCCTGCATCCTCCAACGACGAACTTCTTGCTTAAATATTGCCAGTCGTCGCTCGTTTTCTTTTTGTGTCTCCTCCTCAGTGAGTACCATGTCTTCTAAGTCCAGTGGCAGTTCCTTACCTTGCAGATATTTCTCGTATTCCTTAAGCCAAATTTCTCCTTTCTCAAAAACCTAAAAAATTGAACATGTGAAGAAGTGAAAAGAACGCTAGAATCAAGTCTTCTGAACAATATGCTGTTCTTTATTCCTCTCGTAGTTTAAGTATTTTTCATTGTAATGATCTCATCCACTGCTTTCCCTTGCCCCCAAGGATGGCTTAGGTACTGGAAACTTGTACTTTCTACTTTAAATAAGGCAGATATATCCAACAAACTGAATCAGGGGTTATCTCCGATTACTTACATGAAAAATCCAGTACTTTTCTGACCAACCAGCCCTATGCCAATGACAAATGTGCAGAAACCCATGTAATGGTCGCCATGTGTGAGTGCTATGCTTTCCCCTCCACTCTGGTTCGTTAATCGGCATTGGCTCAGGAGAGTCGCACACAACCTCGTACCCAGGGTCTTTTCTCTTTGCTCACTCTCTGTGCTCACTCTGGGGGAGCACCCGCTGAGAAAAGACCCTGGTATCGGCTGGTCACGTGTCTCCCAGAATCTGGGAGGTAACAAAAATAATAACTAAGGGTAGGGTAGCTGAGTATTATGTTTTATGCGCGATGAGTTTTGCTGCGAAAATGCCGAGGAGTGAGAAATCATATTTAGCCTGTACGATATGAAAAGCTATGAGCGATCAAATATTACGGAAATAAATACCGCAAGAAGTGTTGACAGTCTATTTATCTCAAACCATATCAAGTAACATATCAAATTACAATCGAGGAACATGTGCTTCAGTCTCAAAGCTCATTTTACTGTCCGGAATGGCTTCGAAGGAAACACCTGTAAAAGCGTATCAAGCTTTTAATCCTTCCACAAATTCTTCTTCTTGTCGACTATGCAGAACTGTTGGCGATCCCAATCACCGCAAGAACTTATTCAAGCCTGCGAATCGAGCTTTGCTGAGAATTGCCGAGAAAATTTGCGGTCATTCCATTGTTTACGACGCGAATTTACCGCATCTTTTATGTCGACCATGCGAACGCAGGCTTAAAAATACTATAGCCTTTCAGCAGATAATTGTGGAGACCGAGCAGTCATTTCGCCAGTCCATCAGACCCGTTTCAAACGCTGTACCGATGTTTCTCCGTCTATTTCCCAACCGCCAAGATCACGCCAAGCAACATCAACTGCGGCGCCTTTAGCGAGGCATTCAGCAAGAACTTCGTTGTCGTTTGATTCTTGTCACGATCAAGAGTCCAGTGTGAATTATGATATAGAAGTGAGTACGCAATACTCTTTTTTTTTCGGACAGTTGTAAATGTAAATGGCAAGTTTTGAATATAACTATGCGAATTCCCGCAAACAATGCAAAATTTTGAAAGAAACATTATTATGCAAAAATATGTAAATTCACTTTGTGTAAACAAATATACATCAAGGGCCGGTTGTTCGAAAGGGGTTTAGCTTAAGCGATAGATAAGTTCAAAACGGAAAACAAAATTACCTATTTATTGAACAACTGAGCTGAAATATTTCGATATAAGTTGTTTAATTTTCCATGGAGAACATATTCAATACATAAGATGTAGTTTCAGTCACAAGATGTATGAGAGTATTTTTACCTTTGGCTTATCTACCTAAACTTTGGGTTATCTACCGTTTAAGCTAAACACCTTTCGCACAACAGGCATCTGCTATCAATTTGCCATCATACTTCAGATTCCTTCCCTTCATATTAAAATAAATATCCCATACAGCGACCAAAAACAAATGATGATTGAAAATGTGTAAATGAAATCTTCATGTTTCAGTATACTACAGTTTCATATACCGCCTCAAATCTGTTGTAGAATGTAAATCCTTTGCAAGCTGGTTACAATGAGCAACTTAAATTGCCAACAATGAATTGGTAAATATTGCTAGAAGAGATGAACCATCTGTGCTAAGAGATCGGTCCTATGCAGGTTTGTCCCAGGAAACGTGGATGGTTGAAGTTATAAAAGAACTTTCCACTAGATCCCCCACAGTTGCAGATATCTTATCAAGCTTGCTCGATTGTTCGATGGAGAACCTTGGCAAGAAGTTATCTCCCATTTGCCTGATTTATAGCATCATCATGTTTATGAGATGTCATGAGCTGAGCAGAATTCAGAGAATTAACACTGTCATTCTGACTGATGGAAAGGCATCAACAAATGTAGGTTCATATAGCATGCTTTTTGAAATATTATATACTGTTGCAGCCAAAAGTGAATAGTCTCCAAAAGGTTTAAGGAGAAAACTGTATTGTGATAGACAATAAGTATAAAGTACAGTGGTAATAGCTCCTCAATATGTTAGTGCCAAATTATTTCACATGCTTTACCACATTACTTGTGGAAGGGCTGATCCAGATCCACCTAAATATGACTTACGTGGAATTTAACATGTTTTACTGGTTTAACTTGTTTGTTCCTTGTATCTCATTTGCGGCAAAAGTACAAAGCTTCCTGTGCATTTTTCTGTAAATTGTTCAGTGTTACATAAATTAGAGGGTACAGAAAAATACATAGTCTCTATCTCTAAGTATCAAAACAAAGAAGGGGTAATAATATTTAAATGATTGAACTCATCATATAAAATGAACTCTTCACTCTATCATTGTGTTCAATATAAAAAAAACAATAGTGGAACACTTAACACTTTACAGCAACATCACTAAAGTGGAAAGGGTTTTGTATTCTTACTGTGTATTTCTGTAAATATGCACTGTAATCATACTAAACTATACACTAACTACTAAAACCAACACAAGTTATCATTATGACTGTCATACTAAATCTATTTAATTTATATTTATAGTTGCTTGAGCGACTAAACAAGTATGGCATATGTCTCAGCCCTTCTAAAAAGTATGTTGTCCTTGATGACATTGGCAAACACTTTTTGGATCATGCAGTGGAGTTGGTGAAGGCTGGGAAGAAGTTTGTCTTCGTTGTCGACAACATAGATTGGGAGGAGAAGGTGCATGATATGCGAGAAATTCATCAAAATAAGAGTGTCCATGCTGTTGCTACCAGCATGGTATTCACCCGAGTTTCAAGTGACCACCTACCTGATGATGGCCCTCAGAAGATATAAAAACTTGCAACTTCCGAGAAATAGTTGACATGAAGGATGAAGAGCTAAAGGAGATTCACTATCGTTACAAGATATTGGTAGCAAGAGTCTTAATCAAGATGTTTCCAGAATTCAGCAGAATTAAATCATACATATCTCAGGAGCTTCTACTCACTCATGAACATTCTGATACAGCATCTTGTAAGTCAGAAATTATTACTATGCCTGTACTAATGAAAGATGAGAAAAGTATAGCGATTGTGTTGATGTTCTTGACCAGCTGGAAGAGTGGACACACGAGATATACAAGGCAAGTGGCAAGTGTCAAGATCATGCAGACCATGCATCTGCTTCCCATCCCTTGATAGAAGTTCCAACACGACCAGATCAACCAAGATCCCACATTCCACCTTCTACTCAAAATTCTGATCCACTTCAAGGAGTAAAAGTTGCTTGCTTTGGCGATGAGTTAACAAGAGTGAGGTTTGCTGGAGCACGTGACCTTCGTTCTGGTTGTCACACGCGAAGCAGCGACTTGATCATTTATATCCATATCGAATTGTTGGATGGCATACAAAGAGGAGTTTTTTAAAGGTGAGCCTCAATTTTTCCTTTTAGTATAGCCAGAATGTTGGTTAAAGTTGTTTTGTAAATCTGTATATAATAAATCTGTTATGACGATGGTATGCCATGAATTGTCTTTAGGAGCACCAGGGCCTATCAGAGAAGTGTTGGGACCCAGGTAATAAACTGTACCCTGGGCCCCCAGCCTCAGTCTTCCCTCTGAAAAGTCCTGCAAATGACAAAATTACTTAGACTATCCAACCTGCCTATCAGTCCTACAGACTACAGTGTTAGTAACCTCCATCTCAGGGCACTTTTCATATACCATGGGTACAAGGTTTCAGTGTTTGCAAGGTAATTATAACTTGTAATTTTTTTTTTAGTCTGTCTTTAAACGGCTGTACAAAAACTCCAGCAGAGAACATGGCACATTGAGATACTTTCGGGAAGTGCTTAACAGAAGAAATGTGACAGTTGACATCAAGCACTACGAACACTGTGAGCAGTTCTTCATGAGTGTTGGTCACTGTTATCTGATTGAAGCACTGCTTCAGTTCTTCAAGATGGAAGATATTAAAGGGTTGCCAAAAGAGAACGATCCTTTTCTCCATCACAATGAAAGTGATGAAGAAAAGAAGGCCCATGTTTTAGAAGTACTGGACAAGTTTGTTCAACAGTTTCTTTGTCCAACTGATGTTGATGACAGTACTGACTCTTTAGATGATGACAGCACTACCTCAGATGGTGTATTTAATTATGCACTCAACCTATTGAAGTCATTTATGGTTCTTCTGGATTGCAAGGATGCTGTAGCTTCTGGAAATGGTGAGCATTTGGCCACAATCCAGAAACAGATGTTATTCTATTTCTCATCTGTTTCTGGATATAATGTTTATGCCATTGAGATGCTTATATTTACCATCCAGAATGAAATATTGTTATCACCTCGAGAAGCACATCAGTGTAAGTGGGCAGCTTTGGCTAACTGGAGCGGAGGTAAAGACAAAAACATAGAGATTGATTTATTACAGGAAAACCGGAATGCAGATCTCAAAGGGCTTATTCGGATGATGGGGGCCAACAAGACAGAGAAAGCCATTGGGAGGATGAGTAAAGCTGCTGGAGGGGTACGTAAGATCGTTGATGTGTTCGACGAACAGGCATCCATTAGACGTAAATCTTCAGCCCATTCCCATCGGTCATCGTCTGAAGATGAGAATAAAATCTCCTCAGATTTGCACAAATTAAAGCCCTTCGCTTTCCTGGGTGGTCGATCTCACTCTTCATTTGTGGGGATTTCTTCAGACCCATTGGAAGATTTAAATGAAGAAGCGTTTTGTGAATGGCTTAAGCGACATCAAAGGAATATTGCATTGCATTTCCCAACAGTTGAAGAAGCACCTACTGTACATGCAGATGCAGAGGATGATGAACAAAGTGAGGATTTCAGTGAACTAATGCACTCGCTATTAATTGATGACGTCACAGATGATATCTAAAACAACACTAAATTGCCATTACCCATATATAGTCTGAAGGAACATTTGCCTGTTCCCTCTACTGTCTTTCTCTACTATTTCTGAATGTTTTCACTTGTTTATGTTGAATAACCTTGAACATCAATTCCAAATTATTAATGTTCAATGTTATCATCAAGTAAGAGTAATTGTCTTTGTACAAGTTATTGTCTTTCCCAGCAAAGCTCACTTTGAAGAGAATTTATTGATTTAAAGTGAGACTGGTGGTAAAGATAAAATCATATAACAGAAAGTCCACATGAGTTCTCCTGTCCCCAATCTGGTGCAGCAAAATTGCTACAAAAATTATACTAAAGTCAAATTTTAATGTATATGTGTGCATTCTGTAAATGATTTATGTAAATATCTGTAAATAATGTTTAAAAGTTCATTTGGGAATCATGTAAATTTTTGTATATATAATAAGAGATTAAAAATTTTCCTATGTGACAAAAAAGGAAACCAACAAGATAATTCACACAGTAACATTACTGCTTTATATAGTATTTATCAAATTGGCATGTTTATTTAAAATTTGTGCAATGATGATTTCTCCCCAAAACATTTTAAATTTATATGTTATGTATATTCCCTCTAACTTTAACAAATGAAGTTATTAACTAAACTTATCCATATATATTGACTGGTGCATAACATATTTTCTTTCTATATCAGTTAATACAACTTGAGCAATTACATTTCAACTCACAAACACTACAGCAAATGTGCTTAGGATAAACAGGTGTTATGTTATATGGTTCAGTGTCCAGTGAAGTGAGCAAGATATTTCTAAGGCAATCGCACTTGCTTTGGCACAATGTCCTAATAGCATCTTGCATCCCTGGCTTATTTCTTGCAATGTCATGATTATTGTAGTGAAGCACTGCAGTTGCAGGTTGCCCATCTCTTCCAGCCCTGCCAGTTTCCTGAAAATATGCCTGGATGGTACGTGGCGGGGTAAGATGCACAACACTTCGTATACATTTAATATCGACTCCCATCCCAAGAGCAACTGTGGCAAATACCACCCTTACAGTACTTTCAGGAGAACACAATTGCTTAAGAACTTCATCTTTCATTTCCTGTGTTTGTGGTGAATGAAATAGCAAACAGTCTGTTCTCTGGCACTGGTGCTGATCCTTTTGGAAAATACTGACTGCTTCCCAAAACAGACTCAAACAATTTGTAAGCAAACCCACACCACTTCAATGGGATGTATATAATTGTCAAAGGATAGTTTTTCTGTGCCTTCAACAAGTCCTGTGCAATTGGAGTAAGAATGTTTATTATTGAGTCCAACATCTGGTTGACCTCTGAAATGTTTTTTGTAGGTAATGTTTCTCCGGTCAGGATTACCAATGACTTCGGTACATTCTTTAAGGCCCAATGATTTTTTAATAGATTCTCTATCACTTTTACTCGCTGTAGCAGTCATGGCAACAACTGGTACACTTGAAAACGTTGCACATAACACAGACAAATTGCCATAATCGACTCTGAAATGTTGACCCCTGAAATGACAGATGTAATTTTTAATAGTAAGCACAGCACTATGTACTGGTTGATTGATTTGCTCACATATTATATCACATTTACTTGCATAAGGATTATTCTCATTTTAATAGTTTTCACACAAATTATAAAAGTTTAACTTTACCACTGTAAAATGCAATGGGCTTCATCCACAACAATGGCGCAGACGTTTTCCTGGTAAGGTTTGCTCTGCATCAACTTTCTTCCATAAGGACAAGAAACCAACGCTTCAGGGTGTGCGAACACAATATTATAGTGTCCGATTTCAAGTTTGGCTTTGTCGCTGAGACGAAAATCACAGACAAGTTCAGATTTTATGTCGTCTTCCTCAACACACTCTGATGAATTGGTTACATCGAGAGCAGACGCCCGAATTCCACTCAAGTCTAGCCGCAAAATCTGGTTTTCTATCAGCGCGTTTAAAGGTGATACAACAACAATAATTGATGTTATGTTTGCTGTGCTTTTTGGGACACCTTTCTTCTTCGCATACAGCAAGGCAGGAAGCAAGCAAAAAATCAACGATTTACCGTATCCTGTTGGTAGAACAGCAAGAATATCCGAATTTAAAAAGATCCTTTCTAGGCAAATTACTTGTTTAGGTTTTAAAACAACCTCGCTGTAAAAGCTATTTAACAGAGCGAACTCTAAGCACGAGAGAAAATGCCGACACTTCGAGTTTTTCAACATGGCGACTTGCGGGATAGCCTGCGATCGGGCTCTCATATAGGCAGCCGATATGCCACCCCCCCAAAGGTTGACAATTTTCCTAAGGTCACATGACCAGCCGACACCAGGGTCTTTCCCGCAGTGCTTTCCCCCCACTGTGCCCCCAGGAAAGCCTACAAAAGACCCTGGGTACGAGGTTGAGTCGCACACAACCAAGTCTGGGACTTGATGCGGATACTTGTTATTCAAATAAGCACGAAGTCTGTATTTTCTATTCTCTTCTAATATTACTTCGTGTTCAAAGCATAGCTCGTTGTCTTTACACAGGACGTCATATTTCTTCTCAAATCTTTGTTCGAGCCAGTAGAATTCTTGTTCCAATCGCTTGTCCAACTCCAAGTCTATTGCCATATTTTCCCTTATAATATTGAAGTTTTAAACAGTATCTTTATATAATGAATTTCTTTATCTCGCTTCCTCTAGTTTTAATTTTTAATTTTTTTTACTTTGCCGTATCATCAAAATAGACTTAACCAGTCTACTTCAGCAAAAAGTCTTTTAGATAGCTATAAACTAAACTAAACTAGTTTATTTCAGCGAAAAAACCTGTTTAGGCAAGTCATCATAATTTACATTAGTCTTCCAGTAACAAGGGATTTCCCGTGTTTTGTTATTGTTCAAAAGGATATATCAAGTTTCATTCAATCACTTGATTTCTAAGTGGAACATCTGTGAACATTTCGTCCGTTTCGTAAATAAAGTATTAAACCAAAATTGGGAAAACAGAAGACGAACTTCCAAAGACTGCGTTGATATTTAATCCCTTATGTTCCGTCTGACTGAATATCATCTCTTCAATTATACATTCATGATTAATCGCATCTTGAAACTTTATATTTGGTCAGCAAGTCATTAGGGAATTCCCCTGATGCGTAGGCGTTTGGGATTCCCCTAGCTTAACAAACAGAAACCAGTATAATATAATATTCAAACTCGACTAAATCGTTGCAGTTCCAACAGGACCACAGCATTTTCAACCTGTCATCTGTGATACAAAACTCAATCATACCATCAAACTGTAGATATCACGTTTTAAACGTAGATATCTGAAAATGACTGGCGATAAGTTATCACAAGCGAGATTGAAATACGAGAAGAACGAGCTAGAAAAATATTATCGCGGAGAAAAATTTCCATGGAAGAAGATGTGGAAGAATGGAATGCTTATGGCTGCATTTGAACGTAATGTAACGACGAATAGAGGAAATGTTTATAGACTACGTATATTGGTAGGGGAGAACTATCCCAATCAACTGCCGGATTTAGTTGTATGTTCTTCACCAAAACCAATGCCAACGACACCAGAATGGCGAGGGACATACACCACACATACATGGCCGCCAATGGATGGATTCTTAAAAATTCATTTCTATCATCCGCTTTGCTGGACACGGAAGAATAGACTTTATCAGGTTTTTGAGAAGGGAGAAGAATGGTTAGAGGCTTACGAAGAACATCTTGCAACGGATATACCTTTGAATGAATTTTTACCTCCGATGAAACTCACGAAAGAAGTTGTTGATGAAGAGAACAGACGAAAAAAAGAATATGCACGTTATATGGCCATGTATGACCGAAATCTACTTCAGCATTGCCGATAATTGCTGGCTTAATACTCATAGACACACTAGATTTTATATACCAATTACCAATTATATTTAAAAGATACGGGTGAAAATTTTACTATTCGTGTAGTGTAATCTGGTTAGTATATGTACCATGTTTTAAGCAATTAAATAAATAATTAAACAATATTTTTACAATTTGGGGCTCATTGGTAGTACAAAGACAACAAAGTCCCCAAAAACCATCCTTGCCGAGAAGCAGCCAGATATAAAATATGGCAAGTAATATTTTTAGTTGTTTTTAATACTACGAGGCCTTACAGCAACTAATCTGAAATGTAGTCGTCCATCATCAAACGGTGTGAAGGAAACGTCGATTGTACACCCAGGATTGGCTAAATTAAGTTTAGTAAATAGACATAGCAATGCAAACAGCCAACCACAAGCAATGTCAATTGGATTATCCATATTACACCTTCTCAAAAACGTTTCTATCATTTGGGTCTGTTCGTTATTTATTTCATCAACAGTGAATATTGGCAAGTTACGCTGTGACAAAATATTGCTGAAAATTGAACGCATTTGCCAGTTATGTAGATCGTTAAGAAAATTAGGACGTGATTGATATAAAGCCAAGGCGATTTCTTGACCCAGAAGGGCTATTTGCAACTTCTCCACTCTTTCCGCTTTTAATTCCTCTTCCTCCGTGAGTTTCATCTGTTGTAAATCAAGTGGTAATTTTTTTCCTATAAGGTATTTTTCATAGGCTTCGAGCCACTCAACTCCTTTGTTGAAAACCTGTGTGAAAGTATTCAAAATACACATTGAATTTCAGAATGAATGCACGAATTTATATGAAGCGAGTAGTTTTGGGATCGGATATCCTAGAACAGACACTCCAGAGAGTCAGGGGTCTTGCAACAGAGCTCTCTGCGTATAGTGTTAAGAAGCGTGGTGAATATGGCTACCGAAGAATGGCGAAACACGATCCTTGGGTTAAGACAGATCATTTCAACAAACCCACCTGGAAAATCATGTTCTCTCTTGTCCAAGCTGCCCAATGCCAATGACAAATATGTAAGAACCCATGCAAGGGTGGCCACGTATGGGTTGCATGGCTTCCACAAAAATGAGGGTTGTCAACAGGCATCGACTCAGGGGGCTCGCACACCACCAAATCTGGCATTTTACGAGGATACTCGGAATTCACATAAACACGAAGCTTGTAATGTTTATCTTTCACTTCAACTTTGCGTTCAAAACATGGAGTATCATTCTTATGCAGTATAGGAAATTCCTCCGGCCAAAAATATCCCTCGAGTGTATCTTTCTCTTTTTCTAGGCGCGAGTCCAAATCTGCTGGTTTGTAAACTTCGATGTCTCTACATTCTGCCATATTGGATGTAGTGGTACAAATCGAGTTATAACTACACTTGTGTTCTCGCGTACGCCACAGTCGTGTTCAAGAGTGTTTGAATTTGTATTTTATAGTCTTGATTCGTCTTTTATGAGACAGTCTTCTTCTTAATATTACGGTGAACTACACAAGTGTTAAATTAATCTGCCGTGGTCGGTCGTGTTCAAACAGGTACTCCTATGAAGGGATTTTCCCATTGTCTTGCGCAGTAGTGTTTTTTAGCACTTCTATATGACGTAATGGTATTTCCCACTTCCAAGAAGCGAGGAAAACATTCTTGGTAAATGGGTGAAGCTATACTTGGAATTACATCCAATTTCTAAGCATTTGTTAATTGTGAAAGAATTTCAACAGCAGAAAGTGAAAGTTTATGGCACTGATTACATGGGAATTCCCGATGAAAGAAAACAATTGAAGCTTGTGAGTCGAGTGTCTTTGAATAGATGTTACCCGCTGTGAGGGGAAACGTTTAGTTAGGTAGTGTTTCCCATATATACGTTTGAAATCAGTGTTGGCTGTTGGAAGACGAATATTGTACCATACATTTCGGTTGTGATTAGCGGGATTAACATGGTTATTATATTACATCATTAATCCATTCATAAACAAAGATTATAAATAATATATTTGGTATGTAAATTATTTTTCTTCCTTTGCCCTTATGTAGATTTTGTCTTTCTTAGCAGTGCAATGTAATTGTGTCGGCTTTGTTACTGCTTCTCAATGTCTGATTACCTAATTCATTTATTGTAGCTACAAGTTGTGGGTATAGCTGTGTAAAAGCAAACGATTTTTTCTTCAATTGACAGAGGAAATACGCGTTAGGATACGCTTGAACTGTCTTCTGTTAAAGATGTCGTGGAGCAAATTCCAAAAATATCGTCTGATACTTGAAAAAAGAAGATTGTTAAAAGAATTCGCTAAAGATGATATTACATGGATCAATCCACAATGGCACACGAAAATCGAGCTACGCGTTGTAACAAACCGTGGTAACGAATACGTTTTGCGTGTGCACGTTCCAGAAGATTATCCTAACTCTGCACCTGAGATGGTAGTCTCCGAATCGCCTCAGCCAATGCCAGATTGGAATGAAAGTTACGAGAATCATACCTTGGACAGACGTGAAGGTCATATTAATATATGCTATAGTTATTACCGTCATTGGTCGCCAGGAAAACACACAATTGTTGATATTTTTAAAAAGGGTCGGCTGTGGTTGGAGGCTTACGAGAGCTCAGTCGAAACGAACCGTCCTATGGACTTCTACTTGGATGATGTGGATGTGCTAGATGATGATGATGATGATCCGCCAGCTTTGAACCTTGAAAACTGCTCATGTCAGTAAAAGGCCTACAAAGCTATATTTGTGTGTCAGTTTGTGTGCGTGCCGCTGCCATAACGAGTGACTAATGCAATTCGTTTATTTGGTCTTATAAACCAATATTTCTGCATTCAATCGGCTTGGGTGTTTACTTTATCTATTGCTTATCAAGTCGTTGTCAAGTTCATCGACCACTTTAAAACCTTGTATTTCGACGTGTGGTTTTGTTGTTTTCGATATTTAAATTTACCTCTCTTACGTCACCAGCTGTTTAATAATAATAACCTTTTAACTTTCACTTTGCAACTCGGCAACTCAAGTGTTGTTGAACTGAAATTTCGTCCACTTCCGCTGTGAACTCGCAAGTTTAATCGCACAATGTTTACACATTTTATGGAAATATACAAGCTCAACCATCGTTAATTCAAACATCGTTATCTGTAAGATGCCCTGGACTCGAAATCAGCACTTTCGTATCTTAGAAGAAGAGGAAATTTTGAGCGTATATTTTCCCGGTAGAGTATCATGGCTGCATGGCAGGACGAACGTTGAAATTAGGATGACAACAAATAATGGCAACGAGTATACTCTTCGAGCCTACTTGCCCGAAGATTTCCCGAACAGTGTACCAGATTTGGTTGTAACACAATCCCCACAACCTATGCCGAATTGGGAAAACAGTGGACAGACACATACTTTACCACGTTACAATGGTTTTCTAAGGATTTGCCATTATCGAATATCTCGCTGGAGTCCTCAAAATAATTTATACGATGTTTTTATGAAAGGAAGGTTGTGGCTCGAAGCATACGAAGGACATCTACGAACTTCCCTTCCTATTGATCATTTCTTAAGAGATATGGAGATCAAACAGTAGAAGCGATTAAGTGGAGTCAGTTTTATGTTTTGTGTGCTTTTATGTTAGTTATAGTCGGTACACTGTTTGTGCTGAGTGATATTATACACTTTTGTGTTAAAATGATTTTGTCACATTGCAAGTGATCAAATTTTCAGAAACTAGTCAGGGATTTAGCGTATAATCAAGATATCTATTTCTAAAAATCTCTTTATTATTTCACTGAAATAAGTCAGATTGGTTTTATAAGGTTATATATAGTAAGATATTAGACTGATGTGCTTCAATATAATTGTATTGTAATCCAGCATGCAAAAAGGAACATCTATGAGGGTGCAAACAATGATCTTCTATTAATTAGCGGAATGTTATGTGATCCATTTTTAAAATATGGTTTTTGTTAAACTGTCATATATATAATCTATATTGTATAAACTGCTACATACAGCTGTTTGTGTTTCATGGAGATATATAATTTTCTAAATGTGTATGGTACTGTGCAAAAAAGCAGACAATGGTTAAGGGTTACATTAGTTTGGGGTTACATTATAAGAAATTAATTACATAATTGTTAAAGATAGATTATTTTCTCGTCCTTCCATTTCTTCTTTCCCTTCTTTTGCTGGTCCAATTGTTTCTGAATCGTTCAGTGATGGTTTTATGGTCTACCGAAACAGGGACAATTTCGACGTCTTTTATTCTCATCGCTTTCTTTACGATGGCTTCCTTCTTCAACCTGTCCCTTCTTTTCCTCATCACTAGTTTTTCTTCCATCTAAGTTATTCCCGTGGTTTTCAACCTTTTCACTTTTATCATTTGCATTTTTTATCGTGTCATCATCTATGCTTGCATTTTTTTTTGAAGCCAGGTTGCTTTTCGACATAACTTTTCGTTTCTTTTTTTTCCTCGTGTCTTCCTTCTTTGTGTTGTTTTTTTTGTCTTTATTTGACCCAAATTCACGAATGGATTTTCTACTTTTCTGTGATTGTTTTTTTTCGGATTCAATGTGGATTTCATTATCTATTTTGTTCATGCCTGATTCGTGTTCAGAAGCATCGATGTCTCTCTCAACTGTTTCATTTTTGACGGTTGCAGATGGCGTTTTAGGCATTCCTTTCGTTATTTCTTGGTTAATTTCCGTTGATGTATGATTGACACTGTCTGCGCAAATACTCCTAACTGTTTCGTTCTTTCCAAGTATCAAATTATCATATGTACTTAGCCTATTCCCTTGCGCGTCATTTTCATTGGCGTTATCATCAACACTTCCAATGTATTTAACTTCATAGTTTGCACGAGACTTTTCGGATTTCTGGTTTTCGAGCGATATACTTTCGGACTTTGAGATTGTCTGCGTGACTCCACCAGCTTGTAGGGTAACAATATTTCTGTTGACTTGAGGGTCACGTTGATTGTCCAGCTCTTTGTTGCTCGTCATATTGTTAGTTTTATCATTCCAGCGTTCTTTGGGTATATTACTACCATACCCGGGTGTCTTTTGCACAGGACCTTTAATTGGTTTTGGGGGATCATGATAAATTGAAGCAGACTTTACTTTTGGATCTCCTGGTGTTGTATCACCTTCAGGATTGCTTGTTTGGTTTTCGTTATGAACACTGAGGCCTTTCTTTTCGTCCTTGTCGAAAATAGAGTTCATTTCACTCTTAGGCACATTGTTTTGATTGACGCGCTCAGTTCCACTGAAGCGCCGAGAAGTATCAGGTGGCTTCGGTTGCCCGTCATCCACCCATTGACACTCAGTACCCATTGAACGAATCTCTTCAGATTGCTTTCGTTTTTTTGGTGATATTCTTTCAGGCTCCCCTTGATGTGTTCGTGTATCTTGCTGGGTTGTTGTAGAGTTCTCTGAAGATTTTCGTTTTGGTAGCCCCTGCTTGTTATCTGAATATGTTGGAGTTTTCGAGATTTTGGCGTCTGGGCCAGTTGTTGTTTCTTTAACTGTTTTTTGAGTTTTGGGTTCATGTAAAATTGTAGCTGACACCGACACCATTTTTGGTTTGCCAAGTTTCGGTGGTGGATTCTGTGTCTGCGTATCTTGCTGGTTTGTTGTGAAGTTAGGCTGCGGGGAATTGCATTTTGATAGTTTCTTGTTGTCACGCCAATATGTTGGAGTTTCTGAGGTTTTGGCGTCTGCGAGTCTTGTCGTGGATGTTGTTTCTACATGCAAAACTTTGGCTGGCGTGTGCTTCGGGGTTATTTTGTTTGTATTTGCATGCCAGCTTATCGGTGTTCCTTTTTCTGCAGGACTTTCACTTTCATTATGATTACTAGCCCCTTCCTTCGCTTCCGCGTCAGGTGAGAAATTTTTCATTTCTCCTTCGTACCTGGTTAACTGGTTGAAGCTTTCAGCTCCGACGAAGACATTTTCCAAAATATTCTCATTCAAACGCAAAGGACTGTTACCACTTAGAAACTTAAACTTTCCATGTTTAACCGGATGTTGTTGACCATATTTAATTTGAAACAAAAAGCAGTTAATTGTCACTCTATCGGTTATATTTGCAATAAAAACAATATATCGATCCAATCCTAATCCCCAGGCATATTGTTCCATACAGTAATTTTTTATCTCCGGCACTTGGTTTAAATAGCTTTATTCTGTGATGAGAATGCCACTGGCCAACATTGCAAAGACCGTGTTTATTTGCTAAGAAGGTTCCAGCGTCGCGTAGGTAGTCCACGTCCTGTAAGATAAGCGAGTAAAAGTAAAATCAATCATGAATGTAAAATACATATCTTTAGATCGTTTAGCATTTTCATCTATTAACATGCGTCGGTTATAGGAGTCCACAGCCCCGCATTAAAAGTCCGTATTTTTTCTAAACACGCAATAACTACTTGTAAGACGAAACTACCCACATACACAGTGTCTATAAGTGTGTATAGTCTATGCGCACAAACTGTCACGATGTATAGGTCTTTGCAGCATTCACAAGGCCTTTCAATCCAAAGTTTTCAGACGAACCGTTGCTAGAACTATATCGTACCTGAAAGAATGACGTGGCTGTCCTTCTACAATCATTACCAGGGCCAAGCACAAACTGAACAACAGCAGTGTGTTCATCAAGCCACAAACCAAATAGATCTCCGCCAGTTTCGATATCCTTATGTTTTAAAACCCATTCACATATCTGATCCCGTTCACCTTCGTTCATATACACTTTGAAACTCATGTCAGCGACGTTATATTATTTTGCATCTATCTTATGGTCTTAGCCGTTAAATGCCAACTAAATAGTGTACGATCTCGAGTCAAACTGATGTGACCTTTCGTAAATATTTGAAGTTTCGATTTTAAATGTTGACCCCGAAATACCAGGAATTGGTTTTGACAGAATTCATACCTAAATAATTTCATGGTTCATTTAACATTTTTTTATCAAACTAAGTCATCATCATTACACAACGAAGTAGTTTTGAAACCATATGACAACTTCAAGATATTCTTTTGTGAATTCTTAAATTTACTTTTCCATAAATAACTTTCAATATATTAAGCTACCTCGTGCAAACTACTGAATTTTAACTCTTATGATGTGGATACATATCTATAGGGTAATCACTGATCTATATATAAGTGACAGATACTAAAAAAGATACTTTATACAATAGTAACCTGGACTACATCTTGCTCTTTATCCTTCTCGTCCTGACTTCCTTTGTTAATATCAGTTGAGTCCTGCTCGGTTATAGTTAAGCATCTCATCATGGAACACAAACTTTCTACGGGATGGCAACGGCGAGTAAGGCAATTACCGCCAGTTATTTCATTCTCGTTGTGATGGAATGTTCCTCGGTGATCCTCTTTGTGAGAGAATGTTCCTCGTTGATCCTCGTTGTGATGGAATGTTCCTCGTTGATCCTCTTTGTGAGAGAATGTTCCTCGTTGATCCTCGTTGTGATGGAATGTTCCTCGTTGATCCTCTTTGTGAGGGAATGTTCCAGATGGGGTGCTCGGTCTTTTGTCTTGATTGTAGTAAGATACGGAGTTACTTTCATATGGGTTTGGTTTGCTGCTCTTTGGTTGAAATAGTTCAGTAACATTATCATAATCTCCGCTTTTCCTTTTACGACGAGTGCTCTCAAGACCACTCGAGAAAGATTCTGGCTGACGAACAATTGCTTGATCATTTTCTTTGGGCATTCTCTCTCTGCTTCTTTGGGGATTCCTTCGATGTTGGTCACTTTGGATTGTTTCCTGGTTGTAATCTCGTTGTCTTGGAGAATAGTAATCCTTTCGATGATCTTTTCTGCCTCTTGGCTCTTTATCTACCAGTTCTCCTGAAATATATCCCAGAGTTGTTGGATTACATTTTCGTTTCTATAAAAGGATGATGTTGGGAACGAGTTAATTCTGTTGCCTTTTGGCTCAGTTGGAGTATAAACTCCTCGATTCTGGATTATGTTTCTTGATGATGAAGTCACAGCGTTTTGTTGGTAGTCACATTGGTTTGTGTGTATCTCCCTTCTATTCCTATTCCCATGTCCAGGCGGCGGAGAATATCTGTTATTTTCTGTTGGATAATCTCCTCTTAAAAACTTTACTTCTCCCTTGCCATCGGGTTTGTATAAAACTGCTGATAGTTTCGGCTTCGTCTCTTCTGATCCTTTGGATTTCCAAGCCCTACCAGGTTGCTTTTGAAATACTTTCTCATCTGGATTGTTGGTAACCTTGGATGAACCAACAGACGTTCTTGTGTGATGATGAAAGTCTTGTCCTATGTTTGCATCTTTGAGTCTTCTTATGGGCGTATTCCTTTTGAGCTGGCTTCGTTCATCCTCTTCATAGTGGTCTGTCTTTGTGTATCCGTCGTAATTTCCCCTTTTTTGTTCACTTTTCGGAAAACTCTTTTTTTCGATAATTCTGCTTTCAAATGCAGTGTGTTCACCTTTATGCTCACAGGTGTAACTATTCCTACGTTTTTCTTGCATAGTGGAAACATCTCCGAAATAATGTTCCACACGTCTCGCAGAGTAACCTGGTACATGGTCGTCTCTCGCGTTCTTATTTCGTAGAAATTTCATTTCTTTTTCAAACGTGGTCATCGGATTGAAGCTCTCTGCACCGACGTAGACATTTCGCAAAATATTCTCATTCAAACGCAAAGGACTGTTACCACTTAGAAACTCAAACTTTCCATGTTTAACCGGAAGTTGTCGACCATGTTTGATTTGAAACAAGAAGCAGTCAATTCTTACAACATTGGTTATATTTGCAATAAACACAATATATCGATTCAATCCTAATCCAGGCATGTTGCTCCATACAGTATTCTTATCTCCAGAGCTTGGTTCAAACAGATGTATTCTGTGATGGGAATGCCACTGACCAAGATTAGAAGGACCCTGTTTGGTTGTCAAATAAGTCCCAGCGTTGTACAAATAGTTTACATCCTGTTGGTAAAATAATGAATAAAGAAGTATTTCGTGCATTATGTTAGGAAACACATATAAAAATCCCGAAAAAGACGGCGATTCGTGTTAACAGACACCTAATAACAAGTGGTAGGTTGAAAATCGTTTTATTTTGTTTTTTTTCTGTGGTTTGAATGTTAGACTTTGCAGAAACATGATGAGTGATGACCGCATTCATGACTCAATAAATGTAGACTATGTATAGTCTCGGCTTTTTGGTCTTACATCTAGACTTAAATGTAAGTTGAATTTTTCGCTTAGCAAATTTGCATTCTCGATGCCAAGCCACCGAAAGAGATCTCTCCAAAATGGCGAAAAGTGATCCTGCATTTAGCAGTAATGCCGTGTTCATATTACGTTTCATGCAAATAACTTGCGAAGTAAAAGGGCTTGGATTATTAGTATTTTTAACGAACTATAGCGTTTCCCGAGCTGAATAATTGTATAGATGGTCTATCTTCATGGGCACAGAGCGCAAAAGTCGCGAATCAAATCATCACAAATCTGTCAGATATCCTGCGCTTAACAAGAAATACAAGGGGGGCGCTGGATGATTGTCTGACGAACAATCTCCCTTTCGTGCGCAAGCTTCTCGAAACGTAAGAACATTTTTAATCCATATAAATACTGCCGAAGACGAGCTTTAACCAGTTTTACCAAGTTTTGGCAATGAAACCGAAGAGGAACGATTTGTTTATATCGGCCGTCAGATCGCACTGTTGTTGACATCACGTATAACATCGTTGCATCAAAATACTTAGTTACCTGAAAGAAAGATATTGTTGTCCTACTACAATGTTTACCGGGGCCAAGCACAAACTGAACAACAGCAGTGTGTTCATCAAGCCACAAACCAAATAGATCTCCGCCAGTTTCGATATCCTTGTGTTTTAAAACCCATTCGCATATCTGATCCCATTCACCTTCGTTCATATACACTTTGAAACCCATATTTCACTAAATTCAATAATCCTATTGATTCTCCTGCCTTTCTAAAGCCTGGCGCTAGGTTATAATTAATCGACAAGTCATAGACATACTTATTCAACAAAAATGGCGAATTTAAATTGAGATTTTAAATGCTACTTATGTATGGCGATACTGCCGATACATGGAAAGGGTTTTCCCGGAAAAAAGAGTTGTCGATGCTATCATGTAACTCGGTACAAGTAATGCACTGAAATACTTGATGTAATATTGACAAAACAATCGTGATAGCAGATACACGTATCATTCTCAATTGCAACAGAGGGATGGGCAGCATGTTATACTTAAAGGGGGCGGGAAAGTACATTTTCGAGAAGAGCGCTTTTTCGGATGACTACAAAAATTTGAGGAGAACGTGCCTAAGGTCCCCCACGTCCCCAAGGTTCCCACGTCCCACTTGATTACTAAACAGAGTCTACACTAGGCTCTATTTCACCCGGTGGAGGAATCTCCCGTAGGCAAATAAAGACTCGTAAATCTGAAATATGATTCGTGGATGATTATTGATATTTCCATTTTGGTTTATTACATTTGATCAGAATTTCTATTATCGTCAATGAGACTATTCGAGTACATTTATATATAAGCTCTCTGTGAATTCTGCATTTTATGTTTAGTAATCATGGAATTATAGTGCATGCTGTATTCAATAAGGTAGCTACATGTTAAAACGCTGCTTTTGGGTTAATCTATTTCATAATTTTCATTTACTTTTTATGTACTATGATTTAATTTTAATTATTAAGAATTTTAATATGTAGTTAATATAGCAACAAAGAATTAAATAGAAAAATAGTTGAAGATATGTACCAACAGGTTTGTGATCTAAATTCTTATAAACTTAATTTCCTTTTCTTTCCTTTAAAAGGAAAGCAGCCGGCCTTCTTCTTTTTTTTGTCTTTCGACTTTCGACCAAACGGCGGGTTTTGGGGATTTTGCGATTCACTCGCTGACTGTTCAGATGCATTGACATCTTGGTCATTTTGACTTATGTTTTCTATACCTTGGTCATTTTGATCTCTGTTAAAGGCCCTTTCCTTCTCTTCTGGATCACTTCTTTCAAATGTTGATGCTACTTCAATGTTGGTCTCTTCATTAAATCGCTTATTCGTTTCATCAAACTTCGAATCCTTTCTTTTTTTCTTGTTACCCATCTTGGTTTCTTTGTCTGTGCGTTTAAACTTTCGCCTCAACGATTCTCTGATTCTTTCAGAGATTGATTTTTTCTTTTTCCTCGCATTTTGTAATTCACTTGGTGTTTGCGCAGAAGCACTGAAGTCATTATTTTGATTTTCGCTGATGACTTCCACATCTTTTTCTGGATCACTTCTTTCAAATGTTGGCTCTTCAAGGCGAGACACTTCGATAGGATTTTGTGTTTCTCTTGCTGGATTCTCTGTTTGTGCATTAAGTTCTTTCGATGTTGATTCTACCTCTGTCTTGGCCGTCTCATTAGGTTTGTTTGTTCCCTCACTTTTTAGATCTATTCTTTCAATCTTGGTTTTTGCTGAATGTATTGGGTCTACTTTTTTTGTTATTGTATCTGGTGCATTATTTCCATTCTCATTTTGTTCTTTGTGCTCTATTTGGTCAAAAATTGTACGAATTCTGTTATTGCTCTCATTCAAATGCTTTCCGTGTTTTAGAGAGTCTTTAATGGCAATTTGGGGATAACCTGTTGAAGGTTTGGTATATTTGTTGGCGTTTTCATTAGCAGTCGTTTCGAGTGACTCGTTAACTTGGCATATTGATGATGGCATGTTAGATTTGGTTTCGATACTGGAGGTTTCTGAGTCATCATTTACCGTTGCCATATGTTCGTTTTTATCATCACATCGAGCTTGTAAATCTCTTCTCGATTCCGGTTTTGGCTCTTCTATTTTATGCTTTGTATCTGGTGAATGATCTGAAGCCTCCCCAAGCGTTGTATTTCGGATGTTTTTATTCAATACGGAGTCTGCTTGTCCGTTCGTAGAATTTTTTTCGTCCTCACAGCCATCTAGAAATTCTCGCACAGCAGAGTCGCTCTCTTCTGCCGCTCTTTTTTCGTCCGTTTTTGGATCTGAGTTGAATGCAATCGCGTCTTCGATCCTTTCTTTTTCTCCCTCAAGTTCCGCTTTATCATTATTTGCCTTTGTGTTTTGACTAGTCAGAGTTTTATTGCATTTAAAGCGAGTTCCGTCGGCCATACGATCAATTCGTATTATGTTGGGCTGTTGGTCGTTCTCGGTACTGTCATCCATTGTTAACAATCGTGTCTTGTCTGTGGCTTGCTTTACCTCCTCAGCACAAGGTTTTGTTGAGGCCTGACATCCCTTTTCATTCGGATCTTTCTTTGCACCATCTTTTTGATAATTTTGCAGTTCGCTTTTGCCTTTTCTATGAACATCAACAACCGTAACATCATCACGCGTTTTATCTTCATTTCCTGTATTATCATTGTTAAAGATATTTTCTCCTTCCAGGTGTTGTTGTTGCTCTGTTGTTTCTTCATCTATTCTTTCCGTTTGTTCTTTCTTGTACTCCTCTTCATTAGTGGACAGAATATTTGTTTCATTCCAGTCTCCTTGCTTTTCTTCCTTAGCACGAGGTATTGTTGGAGTCTGACATCCATCTTCATTCGAATCTTTCGTAGCTACGCACTCTTTCTTTCCGCCATCTCCTTTTTGAAAATTTTGCAGTTCGCTTTTGTCTTCTTCACAAACATCAACAAGCATAGCATCTTCACGCGTTTCATCTTCATGTCCTGTATTATCATTGTTAAAAGCATTTTCTTCTTCCAGGTGTTGTTGGGAATTGTCGTTTAGCTCTTGTGTTTCTTTATCTATTCTTTCGGTTTGTTCTTTCTTGTACTCCTCTTCATTAGTGGACACAATGTTTGTTTCATTCCAGTCTCCTTGCTTTTCTTCCTCAGCACGAGGTATTGTTGGAGTCTGACATCCATCTTCATTCAAATCTTTCGTAGCTACGCACTCTTTCTTTGCATCGTCTTTTTGATAATTTTGCAGTTCGTGTTTGTCTTCTTCATGAACATCAACAAGCATAGCATCTTCACGCGTTTCATCTTTATGCCCTGTATTATCATTGTTAAAAGCATTTTCTTCTTCCAGGTGTTGTTGGGAATTGTCGTTTAGCTCTGTTGTTTCTTCATCTATTCTTTCGGTTTGTTCTTTCTTGTACTCTTCTTCATTAGTGGACACAATGTTTGTTTCATTCCAGTCTCCTTGCTTTTCTTCCTCAGAACGAGGTATTGTTGGAGTCTGACATCCATCTTCATTCAAATCTTTCGTAGCTACGCACTCTTTCTTTGCATCATCTTTTTGATAATTTTGCAGTTCGTTTTTATCTGCTTCACGAACATCAACAAGCATAGCATCTTCATGCGTTTCATCTTCATTTCCTGTATTATCATTGTTAAAAGCATTTTTTTCTTCCAGGTGTTGTTGGGAATTGTCGTTTAGCTCTTGTGTTTCTTTATCTATTCTTTCGCTTTTTTCTTTCTTGTACTCTTCTTCAATAGCGGACAGAATGTTTGTTTCATTCCAGTCTCCTTGCTTTTCCCCCTCAGCACGAGGTATTGTTGGAGTCTGACATCCATATTCATTCAAATCTTTCATAGCTACGCACTCTTTCTTTGCATCATCTTTTTGATAATTTTGCAGTTCGTGTTTGTCTTCTTCACGAACATCAACAAGCATAGCATCTTCACGCGTTTCATCTTCATGCCCTGTATTATCGTTGTTAAAAGCATTTTCTTCTTCCAGGTGTTGTTGGGAATTGTCGTTTGGCTCTGTTGTTTCTTTATCTATTCTTTCGGTTTGTTCTTTCTTGTACTCTTCATTAGTGGACACAATGTTTGTTTCATTCCAGTCTCCTTGCTTTTCTTCCTCAGCACGAGGTATTGTTGGAGTCTGACATCCATCTTCATTCAAATCTTTCGTAGCTACGCACTCTTTTTTTGCATCATCTTTTTGATAATTTTGCAGTTCGTGTTTGTCTTCTTCACGAACATCAACAAGCATAGCATCTTCACGCGTTTTATCTTCATGTCCTGTATTATCATTGTTAAAAGCATTTTCTTCTTCCAGGTGTTGTTGGGAATTGTCGTTTAGCTCTTGTGTTTCTTTATCTATTCTTTCGCTTTTTTCTTTCTTGTACTCTTCTTCAATAGCGGACAGAATGTTTGTTTCATTCCAGTCTCCTTGCTTTTCCCCCTCAGCACGAGGTATTGTTGGAGTCTGACATCCATATTCATTCAAATCTTTCATAGCTACGCACTCTTTCTTTGCATCATCTTTTTGATAATTTTGCAGTTCGTGTTTGTCTTCTTCACGAACATCAACAAGCATAGCATATTCACGCGTTTCATCTTCATGCCCTGTATTATCATTGTTAAAAGCATTTTCTTCTTCCAGGTGTTGTTGGGAATTGTCGTTTGGCTCTGTTGTTTCTTTATCTATTTCGGTTTGTTCTTTCTTGTACTCCTCTTCATTAGTGGACACAATGTTTGTTTCATTCCAGTCTCCTTGCTTTTCTTCCTCAGAACGAGGTATTGTTGGAGTCTGACATCCATCTTCATTCAAATCTTTCGTAGCTACGCACTCTTTCTTTGCATCATCTTTTTGATAATTTTGCAGTTCGTGTTTGTCTTCTTCACGAACATCAACAAGCATAGCATATTCACGCGTTTCATCTTCATGCCCTGTATTATCATTGTTAAAAGCATTTTCTTCTTCCAGGTGTTGTTGGGAATTGTCGTTTGGCTCTGTTGTTTCTTTATCTATTTCGGTTTGTTCTTTCTTGTACTCCTCTTCATTAGTGGACACAATGTTTGTTTCATTCCAGTCTCCTTGCTTTTCTTCCTCAGAACGAGGTATTGTTGGAGTCTGACATCCATCTTCATTCAAATCTTTCGTAGCTACGCACTCTTTCTTTGCATCATCTTTTTGATAATTTTGCAGTTCGTGTTTGTCTTCTTCACGAACATCAACAAGCATAGCATATTCACGCGTTTCATCTTCATGCCCTGTATTATCATTGTTAAAAGCATTTTCTTCTTCCAGGTGTTGTTGGGAATTGTCGTTTAGCTCTGTTGTTTCTTTATCTATTCTTTCGGTTTGTTCTTTCTTGTACTCCTCTTCATTAGTGGACACAATGTTTGTTTCATTCCCATCTCCTTGCTTTTCCTTCTCAGCACGAGGTATTGTTGGAGTCTGACATCCATCTTCATACGGATCTTTCGTAGCTACGCACTCTTTCTTTGCACCATCTTTTTGATAATTTTGCAGTTTGTTTTTGTCTTCTTCACGAGCATCAACAACCATAGCATCTTCACCCGTTTTATCTTCATGTCCTGTATTATCATTGTTAAAGAAATGTTCTTCCATGTGTTGTTGTGAATTGTCGTTTGGCTCTGTTGTTTCTTCATCTATTCTTTTGTTTTTTTCTTTCTTGCACTTCTCTTCATTAGTGGACAGCATGTATGTTTCATTCGAGTCTCCATCGTGTTGTTCTTGCTGAGTATCGAGCTGGATGCCAGCAATAGGATTGTCATCGTGACTACAGTCTTCATTTTCTGCTGGAATAGAAGCGCCGTTTGTTAACAGCGACAGAATAATAACTAATAATGTACAAAAAATGCATGAACAAGAGAAGAGAAAGGTTCATAATATTTGCACATGTAAGTATAACACAAGTAAAAGGCAAATATCATATGTAACTCAAGAAAAAAAGTTTATAGATCGCTCAATCCCTCATCATAACTAACGAACTCACGTGCTTCATCGTTTACATTTTCAATTCCATGCCATTGAAAGATGTTATCTTCGTTTATGCTCTCGGCTCCAATTTTTACCGCGTCTTGGATTCTACCATCCAAACGAAACGGCGAACCCCCAGGTAGAGCTTCAATGGTTCCAGATAGCACATCATTTCTCTTGCCGTTCTTGATTTCGAAGAGATATGGGTTGATATCCACTTTCAAGTCTTCCACATCATCGCAAGTACCGGTGCTGTAATTGTATGATCTAGAACCTTTAGTTATCGTTGCAATGAACATGATATATCGATTCAAACCAAGGCTTGGCATGTTTCCCCACACTGTGTTTTTATCTCCGCCACTTGGTCGTGTCAGGTTAAGTGTGTGGTGGGAATGCCATTCACCGATATTACACAAGCCATGATCTCTGGTCAGGTAAACACCAGCTTTTCTTAAATAGTCTGTGTCTTGATAAAAAGATACGCTTGTTCGATGACAACCAACGCCCGGCCCTAACACAAATTGAACGACAGCAGTATGCTCATTGATCCAGGCTCCAAACAAATCACCACCTGTTTCGATATTTTGATGTTTCTTAACCCACTTTTCAATCTGGTGCCGTTCTCCTTCATTCATGTACACAGTAAATGGTTTATCAACAGGGCTTTGAACTATTTAAAATGGAGAAGATTTAAAATTGGTTATTAGTCAGGTTGTACTAACGAAGAGAGTGTTCTGGTAACCAGGAAATGCGAAACGCTGTAACGGACTGGGACTAGTTGTATATCTTGAAATATTCTTTATTTTAGTTTCAAATTAATGTCAGAGCTATAGTTCTCATAACTAAACATAATCACAAAACGTCAACTATAGTTTCATAAAGAATGACAAAAGACATAATCGGTTAAACAGCGCAAAGTGGATTTCTATTTAGACAACTTTTCTGCGCGTTGACAATACCAGGTGACAACTTTTCTGCACGCTGATAATATCACTTGGAGTGCAATATCACCTGACTCGCGAAATAAAAAAAATTAATAGCAGATCAGTCTCTTACGTTACAATGGGAGTGTTGTAACGTTTAAATGCATCTGTGCCACCAACCAGTGGCCGGTTGTAACAAGGCCGTTTAGCTAAATGGTATGTTTAAGCTTAAAATAGAAAGTAAGTCTGTGGTTTCAACAAGCAAAGTAAATATTTTTAACCTTAATACAAAGATACTGTTTACAATTACATATTCACTGTATAATATAATTATTAATATTCAAGTTGATTCATTCAAGAGAGATGCAAGAGAGTTATTTAAATTTGACTTATCCACCGTTTCAGCTAAACGGGCTTGATAAAACCGGCCCCATGCAGCAATGGAATATATTGCAAAGGATTACTTTATCACTAACAACTTATAGACTCACGTGACTTCGCTTTCGTTTTCGGTATATTTGGTTCGTCGTCACTTTTGTTATCATGTTGCCTTTTCTGTGGGAATTTTCTAACTTCGTTTGTACTCTCGGCTCCAATTTTTATTGCGTTTTGGATTCTATCATCCAAACGAAACGGCGAGTTCCCAGGAAGAGGTTCAATAGTTCCAAGTGGCACATCATTTCTGTAGCCATTCTTGATTTCAAAGACATATGGGTTGATATTCACTTTTAGGTCTTCCCTATCATGGTAAGAACTGGTGCTATAGTTGTAGTATGATCTATTGCCACCAGTTATCGTCGCGATGAACACGATATATCGTTTCAAACCAAGGCTTGGCATGTTTCCCCACACTGTGTTTTCATCTCCGCCACTAGGTCGTGTTAGGCCAAGTCTATGGTGGGAATGCCATTGACCAATATTGCACAAGCCGTGCTTTTGTGTCAGGTAGCCGCCAGCCTCTCTCAAATAGTTTATGTTTTGATAAAAAGACACACTTGATCGACGACAACCGTCGCCCGGCCCTAACACAAATTGAACGACAGCAGTGTGCTCATCGATCCATGCTCCAAACAAATCACCGCCTGTTTCAATATCATCATATTTCTTAACCCATTCTTCAATCTGGTGCTGTTCTCCTTCATTCATATAAACAGTAAACTTTATTTGATCGTGAGAGCTTTTGTGACTTTGCCACGCCATGTTTCCGGCTGTATGAATGCAACACTCTTGGTCCTTTCACTTATAATATTTTCGTCGTTCCCAGCATGAAATGTCCGCCAAAGTGCAACTAACTTTTATGTTTATTGTATACAACTTTTGCTACCATTTTCGATTTCTTTATTTTGTCAACATATGTTTCCTAGAATTACTGTTATTTTCCTAACCATTTCGCAGAAATAACATCTGTTTCTCAGAACTGGGTTCTTTCACTTTTCAATTTTGGTTTTCTTGGAAGCCGTTGTAGCACTTGTTTCCGGAAGAGCTCTTTAACTGATACCAGGAACTATAGTTAAACTTTGACCCTATTCATTAAATACAGTAAATACGGTTCATACACTATTAAATATCAATTGTTCGCCAATGATACAAAGATCAAATGTTTTGTCAACAGGAATAAAAAACGACAGGAGATCATAAACCAAACATACCGACTCAAAACAATCGATAAAATGTACAAAATCAAAGTAAAACTTGGGTTAGCTACATTATATTGATCTGCACCCAGTGATCTACACACGTTCAAATTAATTATTAACTGTTGTCAATGGCGATAGCTGGGTTTCAGTCACGTGACAGATTTAGCATTTGGTGGGGGACTCCAGATGGGAGAATGTTTATTAAATCAAGTAAAATATTCATTGTAGGTTTTGACCTAATGTTGAGCAGATGTTATGTGCAATTTAACGAAATTTGCTCATTTCCACAACAAGACATAATTCGGCAATATGTGTGCCACTAAGTGTCTCGCTATGTATGTAGTCTTGAAATGAAACCCACCTATAGTCCTGATTGCCATGGCCTTTCAGCCATGGCACGAATTCCTGCATCCAGATCTTTCAACACTCTTACATAATAGTTCAGCTTAGGTATTTACGACATTTACGAGTTAATAGTGACTAAGTTTTACGAGTTAATAGTGACTAAGGTATAATAAGGTATTGCTATATAGAGATTAGGCTATATATAGATGTGTATTACTATATAGATGTGTAGCTACTACATTGTTCAATACGCTTCATTTTTTCATACATCCGTATTTATTAGATTTTTTTCAATTTCCTTGCCTGATTCAATCAGGTCATTTAACTCAGAGCAATCAGTGTGCATTGGACTATCCTCTTCCATCTCACAAATTTCTCCGTGCAAAACTGGAAGCTGCTTCTTTGTTTCGCTATCAATCTCAAAGAGAAAGCAATTCACTTGAACACTTTCGGATTCCTGGAATTCGGTCATAATCGATTTCTTGATTGTTGCGATAAACACAACGTATCGTTCCATATCCGACCCACGTATATTATTCCATACTGTATTCCTATCACCCGCGCTTGGTTCTGGTAAATTCATTATGTGATGCGAGTGCCATTGTCCAACGTTACACAAACCTTGTTTGGTTGTGAGGTAATTTCCAACACTACTAAGATACTCAATATCCTGAAAGAACGATGTTTGGGTTCGCCGACAATTTTCACCAGGACCAAGTACAAATTGAATGACAACTGTATGTCTGTCTATCCACAATCCGAACAGATCACCACCAGTTTCAATATCATCCTTTGCCATCACCCATTCTTTGATATTCTTTAACTCATCTTTGTAAATGTATACTTTGAATTTCCTGTCTTCGGTTGAAAGATCGTTGCTAGCCCATTGAGTGATAAATTTACCGCTTCTGATGGTTTGACTGTACGACCATATGAAAAAATACCAAAGTATGTTAAATACTGGTATAAATACCTCTTTAAAGAACGTCTTCCAGAAAGTCATCTTGCAGTAGATTCGTGAAAGGTGAAAGTGAAAGCTTGGAATGGACGGCTGAAGTTAAAATTATTCTGTGATGAACGGACGTAGACTGGGAACAAATGCGAGCGAGGCGCGCTATTACCATTAGGGAAATGGGCCTGTTGATTATTTAACCCATTGACAGGGTGCTCGGTACAGTTTACATGCAGCCATTCCAGCTAGACCAATATCTTCCTTCCCAGTTTTTGTGGAAAATTAATAGGATAGATGCAAAAATGGTTCACTTAGTTGTTATATCTGAGTAAATACCAAGACGAAGTTTAGTAATTTGTTTATGAATATCAAGTTAACAAGTGTATAAAAAAATCATTCAAAAGCTATAAAGACGCACAAGTTTATATTGTCTCTTTACAATTAAACACCGGACATGATCAATCACTAGTCAAAGTTTCTTTATGACTAATCTTATTCAAAACAGTACTGTACAGGTATAAATTTAATTTCCACTTTTGGAAACTTCGGTGGCAATTTCACCCTTGACGTGTACTTCTTTGCCTTCCGTATTCCTTTGGGGATTTTATCACGTTTAACTTCTTTTTCAGCTTCCCGACCATTTCTAATATATGGATTATCACCAATAGCTGTATTGCGAAATGGCGAGTTTTGCCCTTTCAAAACCTTCAATTCTCCGTGAACAACTGGTAATCTTCTACCCCTTTGATCAATTTCAAACAAATATGGATTGATGTTGACTTCCATTCTTTCACCCAAACCCTTTATCGTTGCGATGAACACGATATATCGTTTCAAACCAAGGCTTGGCATGTTTCCCCACACTGTGTTTTCATCTCCGCCACTTGGTCGTGTCAGGCCAAGTCTATGGTGAGAATGCCATTGACCAACGTTGCACAAACCGTGCTTTTGTGTCAGGTAATTGCCTGCATTCTTCAGATACTCGACATCTTGATAAAACGACGTGGTTGTTCTGCGGCATTTCTGCCCGGGCCCCAACACAAACTGGATGACAGCTGTATGGCTATCCACCCACAACCCGAACAAATCGCCTCCGGTTTCGATATATTCATTCATTTCAACCCACTTCTCGATTTGACATCGTTCCCCGTCATCGATGAAAACTGTAAACTTTGTTTGATTAGGAACGCGATCCTCGTTAGATCTTCGGTGTTGTTTAGTTGCATCAGCGAGTTGCTGTTGCCGTTGCCGTTGATTTCTCGTTTGCGAATTTCGGTTTCTCCTGTTGTTTGGCATATTGCTTGCGACTAAACGCACTCCTTGCACATCTTCTACCTCTACCCAAATATTTTAGGTTCTTGGAATCTTGGCGTTTTCTTGGAATCAGGATCCGCTACTTGGAATAATAAAAATATTCAAAATGGCAAGCCCCCATCTAAAAAAAGTTCAAACCTCCCCCCGTTTATAAATTATCAATATGGCCGACAACAAACGTGTCGAGTGTTAAAGTTTTGTCTTCTAAATTGATGTAAAATGCGCGTCGTACGGATTAAACATAAAGCTGGTATAGCTGTATTTCTTGTGGCATTTGTATTACTTTTATTGGTGTTAATTTCAAGACATTCGGGTCCAGAAATTCATGTGAATAATGACAGTCCAAATATTCCTACAAGAACGGTCGATTTCATAAGTATTGCCAAGAATGTGCTTGTTAGGCCGAAAAATGAGGACAAAACAGTGCAGCATGGCTTGCAAAACACACCTCTATCACGAGGTAAGCTTAAAAGTCATTTTCGCAAGCAGCCGCGTCCACCAAAACGAAGAGTCTCTGACGGCATAGTGGATAAAGCGAAGGACATCAAAAATGTTGTCCATGGTGACGCTTTACAGGGTCCGTTCAGGGGAAATTATGGTCGTCAAAGGGGGATTCGTAAACATAAACAAATAAACTCTGATGCAAAAGGTATATCTTTCGATAAAATCGTGAATATTGCACGCTTAAATTTTGCTCAACAAAAGATAAAATCATATTGTTCATACATGAATTCAGCTACCATACACTTAAGCAGGTATTTCATTATCTTATCCTCTTATTTAGAGATCAAAACACCCAGAGTACCTAAGCATGAAGTCTCATCTTACACAATTGGTATTTTGGTGATTGCATGCAACAGACCGGATGCAATAAAGAGGGCGCTGAACAGTTTATTGAAGTACAGACCATCTCCAAAACAATTTCCAATTGTTGTAAGCCAAGATTGTGGCCATGAGGAAACATCCCAGGCAATCTCTGCATTTGCAACTGCTGTTAATCATATCAAACAGCCAGATCTTTCAGAACCTGAAGTTCCACCTAATATGAGAAGATTTACAGGCTATTACAAGATCTCAAGACATTTTAAATGGGCTTTAAGTCAGATGTTTGACAAGATTGGATATGATACTGTTCTTATTGTTGAAGATGATCTTGACATAGGTATGATCTCATATGACACCTTAACCCATAGAAATGGTAGACATTGTCTATTATTTCTATGCCTTAAACTAAAAGAGAAAGTTTGCAGGGTTTAATGCCTTGAGTTCAAGATATCAAAGAGTTCTAGTTTTCAAGTTACTAATCAACAATTTTGTTCACTTTTCCAGCTCCAGATTTTTATGACTATTTCTTGGGGACAAGATATCTACTGGATGAAGATCCAACAATTTGGTGTGTGTCTGCATGGAATGACAATGGCAAAGCTGATTTGGTAGACAGTAATGAAAATGGGAAATTATATCGTTCAGACTTTTTCCCAGGCTTGGGATGGATGATAACTAAAAGAATATGGAATGAGCTTAGGCCTAAATGGCCTAATGGATTCTGGGATGATTGGATGAGGGAACCTGCGCAAAGGAAAGGAAGAGTGTGCATACGACCTGAGATTTGCCGAACCAAAACATTTGGCAGAGTTGGTGTTAGTCAAGGACAATTCTTTGATCAGTACCTAAAGTTTATTTTATTGAACAACAAAAAGTTTGACTTCACACATACAGACTTATCCTATCTCATCAAAGAAAAATATGACCAGGAATTTACGAGGAAAGTTAGAAACTTGCCAGCTTTTAAGGTGGATGATATAATAGCTCATAATAATGGCAATCATCAAGAAGTGCAAGTGTATTATTCATCCGAGAGCTCATTCAATGCAATCACTTCAAAATTTGGTGCAATGGTAGACTTCAAAGCTGGTGTACCCAGAGCTGGTTATCAAGGCATTGTGACAGTCATGTATAAAGGAATTAGAGTTTATATAACACATAAAGAGTAGTTATGAATGTATTTAAGATGTATCAAAGTATGTTCCTAGAAACAGATCCTAAATGGTTGCTCTAATTTTTTGTACATTTTCAAACATTTTGTCAAAAAAAATCATACACATCAAATATACACTCCACTATAATGTGTACAAGGCTCAAGTAAGTATAAGAACAGTATCATAAATCACTTTTTTATACAGCATATATATGGACAATTTTATTATAAAATTCCAGTTACAATAATATGACAATATTCTTAAGTGACTATGCGTAAAGTTCACATGTGTATTTCAAAGTTCATATTCTTGTTCATGGACTTGCTGTTTGTAAGCATTCTTTTTTGGCAGGCATTCCATTCAACTTCGATTGTATTTTCCCCAAATGTGAAGGAGAAACACAGAGGCAATAAAGAGAAGACTCAGGACGAGGACTGGTACAGGACCACTACAAAATAAAAAAGATGTGTCAAAGTCTGTGTAAAGATCTATCTTTGTGTAAATACACATGTTCTAGCTGACATACACTTTTAATCCAGGTGAGTCTTCGGTGTAAAATTTCCACATTCCACCACCACCAGCAGGGGCTGTTCTTCTTGTGACGGCACTAGATGCCCCTTTCCTGGTGAATACAGAGATAGTATATCAGAATTTGGTTAGGCAGCTCTTCACAGGCTACTTTTGAATGTAAGAAGTTGCTTTAAGGAAATAGAATGAGCAATCTGCATTTAAATAACAAGAGATAGGTCATGTTTTCCAAATCCTCATTTCTACCTTTGCCTAGCTTGTCCACCTCCACTTGAGGTCTTAGCAAGACCTTTTGATGGTGATTTACTTCCCCCTCCTACAGACGTAGCTGATGCAGATTGAACCTGTAAAGAAATCAGACAAAACATACTTTATATCATCTGCACTTTCCAACTAAGAAACGTCACAAAGTTGTCACTGCAAATACTGTTTTGTTTACTTTAAAAACTTACACTGCAGTACTGTTTTGTTTACTTTAAAAATTTTTTTTATAACTTCTTATATATTTTCACATGTTTTATTACACAATTACTACGCTGTCTATGTGATTCCCCTCAAGCCTCATAACCCCTCATTCAAAGTTCAAACACAGTTGGTATTAGTCAGAACTGTATATTAAAATCAGTATCAGTTTTGCGATAAAATATCTTAGTCCACGTAATTATAATCCCAGAAGCATTGTAAAGTGGTACGATCGTAAGGCTAGACCGATTTATAAACACATTTTCTCACAATTTCTATACTAAATCCCTATATCTTTACACACGACAATATCACAAACATTTAATTCCCTAAACTGACCTATTTTAAGCGTTTCAATACAACCTCGTAAATGAAATACCCAGCAAACAGTTCGACATACCGTACGGAGTAATAAATGAAGTTTTTCTTGAAATAAAACGATTTAAAACTTACCATTTTTGTGACTATACTATGTTCTCTGTTCGAAGGAAAACAAAAGAGAATGCTACGTCAGTTTAGAGAAATTTTCACAAAGACTGGGACTAGAGAGTAATGCCGCTGAAAGTTGAGATTCCGGCGCAGTCATTCTCGTCTCCAGGTTTCTTGCGTGCAATTTGTTACCCAGACGTCTTTGCTCGCTTGGAAAACAATGAAAATGGCGGGAGTTTCAAGTTATGCTTTATAGAATTTATATCGCCGTCAAAAGAGGTATTGTTTTGAATTTTTTTTGTTAATTTTTAGTCTAGTTTTAATAATTTTACAGTTCTCTTAGGCTTTATCAGAGATTAAGCAATTCAAATCGCTTTCTAACTAATTGAAATTGCTATTTAATTGGACTATTAACCATTGTACATTTCGCATTTTTGCTCCTTTGTTATTATGTTAATATATGCTAGTTTATTATACACTAATATTTTTCATACAATTTAATGAATTAATAAATTGCATGTCATTTTCCCCGTCAATTTCGAAGGGCGAACTGTGCAGAAATATATTATTCAAAAATTGTTCATTTTTATCATACAATATGTATAATCTATTTAAAAGCATTTTTGGTACTTCCTGCAAAGTTGTATTCACAACATGTGCAGATTTATAAATACAATACAGTTTATATATATACATCTAGTAGACTAGACTGACAATTTACTCGTCTATTTGCAATCCATACATCTTGTTGTAATCCATACATTTTGTTGCAATTTCACGAAGAAAGATTAAGTTAACTTTTCATATTTGGAGTGTTTGAAGATGTTTGACATCTTGAAACTGGATACAATTCCTGGTTAGTACGAGCTGTTGTGGGCAACTGCTGATACTGCCAAGGTATTGGAAGGAGATGTGTGTATTGGTAGGAAGGCAAATCTGTTTGAAATAATCTTTGATTTCCATCATGGCCGGCGAACGGACCTGGTATACGAGAAAAGACACCTAAGGAGAAAATAAGCCACTGTAACATATTCTAAATTTACAGTTCACCGAAATGTATTGTGAGAAGATAAGTTTTCCTATGAGATAGATACAGCACGTGACTGTACGTCTCCATTCCGGTCGACACTTCCCTGGGTGTTTTAGCATTCTGTAACTCAGCTATCAGAGGGTTCATACTATAGTTCATGGAAAATCAAGAGTATTTACTGTGAAGATGAAGTGGAATCAGATACCGGAGGGTTCATCAAAAATCCAGTGCAATGTATACTGAGACTCAATATACAAAAAGTGATGTGATGGCACGGCAACAGATAAGGGTGAATTACAGATATAATCTAAGGCTATGCAAAAGTTTATGTCCAATTCTACTATCACTATACTAATACCTCTTGGCGTGCTGCTTTGCACCAATGGAAAAGACCTTAGATCGTGATGTGGATGTAAAGAACTATTTCCCGACGGAGAAATCACTTGAAAAAAGGTGTTAGGGCTTGTAGGTGGGGCACCTTCATAATGAAGATAATTCTCGTATGGAGAATTTGGGAAAAAGCGGTGAAAATTCTCGCTCGGATTTCTACGAAATATTTGTTGTTCTAGCCCATAAGGACTCGCGTTGATTTGTTCTCGCGGTGGACTTAACGTCTTAGTGAAATTACCGCGTTTGAATTGTTCAATATACTCCGGATGGATGCTCCAAAAGTGACTACGGTTTCCTCGCCTCGAACACTCGCATTTGACAAAGCACTTGTGGAATGATAAATTATGTCTGACCGTATTACGCCATCTTGGTTTCCCGGAAAGATACTGAAAGAAATGCTGCTCCATGTACGTGTAAATTTCCGATAATACCATCTTTTTATCTGGACTTGAATTTATAGCTTCTGCAATCATTCCTATATAAGGCAATGGACTCTTCTTGCTCTCACACGTTGGGTGGTCTTGAAATTTAGCTGGTACCAATTTGAGATTATCACTGTCGATTTTCGCTCGCTTTGGACATTTACCCTCAATTACCGATTCATTGCATTCATCTGTGCTCGCGGTAGACCGGGGAAAATTGGGGGATATTGGAACCCCATCATCGTCTGATGCTTGACTTATCTCGCTTCTTTGGAACGGAAAATACATGTTTTTTTCCTGATTGATGTTTTGAATAAACTTCTCCACCTCTATGTAAACTTCCCAAACTTGTTTCCTTCAAAAAGATAAGGACGTTTCCCAAATGCACTTTTCAGAATGACCATGTTCTCTTATAGCTACATGCGGTTTATTGCACGCGCAAGCAGAAATTGGATTGCATTTATGAAACAAACATCAACCTGCTTGAACGTAGAAGAACTATATTGTTCAAATCTCGTCTAATTCTCTTACCTTTCTTACCCCACGCTGTTAGTTCAATGGACCTGCTTGCTTTGATGTTCAGCCTGTAATTAGAATAGTTTCTGTTATTTGGCACTTCAGGGGAGCTTTGTGTTTCTTTCTTGTGTTTCATTTATGTTATATGGTTGTATTCAAATTCTTTCAATTTTCCACGAGATCGTCACGGAATTTCTTTTGCTTGGCCTTTTATGAAATGTTCACAATTTAAACGTTTTCTTGATTTTGTAACCTTATTTTGGTATGCGAGATTTGTTTTAATGATATTCACATTGCCCGAATCTGGTGAGATGAGGTCGAATCTGGTGGAATGACGTCGAATATGAATTGCCCGTCACAAAGTAATTGGACTCTTCGCATCAATATAATGTTGCAACAAAATTGAAATTATACCAGGGAATCTGTGGAGTTTGGCGTTTTACGAGTGGCTCTAGATCTGTGGCAGACATCGACAGATGAAGTGGTTGTTAACAGAATTTTATGATCTGACATATTTTCGAAAGCTTACCTCTTGTTTTAAACCTGCTTGTCATATCACTGCAATCACTGATATCTCTGTGTATGAGGTGGCAGATCACTGCTCTCACCACCATTCCTGATGTTTCCTGCAAGATAGTCGATAGAAACGTTGCATCAGAGTGTTCAAGATTTACAGAGTGTCATTTGGACCCCTAGTATCATAGTCTCCTAGTTATCATCACGATACTCCAATAAAAATGGATCTGTCCGTCTAGTGATACTGTAAATAAGAAGAAGTACTTTACCAAGTGTTGAAAAAATGCATACATGGTTAATCTTCACTGAACTACTGGATAAAGTATTCCAAGTATGGTGCGTTCATTATTATACACTATTAACACAAAGTGCTGTGGAACCGGTGGACATAAACCACTTTATTTTCAGGTGGTGATCTAAAAATTCTATATGAATGAAGCCTTTGTGAAACTGGAAAACCAATAACATGATCATTCAAAGGTGTTCCGGTTTCGGTTTTAATTTCTCAGGGAATTCTTAATAGAAGAGTTAAACATATTTAAATAAGAGCAAACAAATGGAACTGACACCTTTTTCTCACAGGAAAACGTCTCCAGGACTGACAAAAGGTGCGAATCTTTCAAAAGAATAATTACTGAATTTTATGCTACATCACGTTAGACGGCTAAAATGAAATTTTTTAGTATCTCAATTATTATCCCTTGTCATCAGAATGAAGCGATGATTTAATCAAAAACTCTCACCAGACAGGAAATTTGCTACTCACCACATATGCATACTGTAACATCACATCTTATATTCTGTCGACAATCTCTGTTGCTCAGCTGTAAAGGGATTCTGGATTCCTTTAAAATCAAAATGCATATTTACGTTAGCGACGATCGATACGATGTCACGTTGTAAAATTTCAGGATAGTTTGATAATTTTTCTCATTCTACTTGTGGAAGTGTTCTGCATATCAAGCATGGATTACTTACAATGATGAATATGGGACAATTTGCAAGAGTTTTTTGCATGTAAACGCCTATATGTCGTTAGCGCTAACTTGTTGAAAAATAAGAATGCTTGAGTCAAAGGAAAATTGACACGGAAACAGGTCTTTAAATACGCCCACGCGAGACTGAAACGAAGTTCGTTATCAACCTTAACACTTTTCATTCTTGTGGATGATTTGACAAATAGTCTCTTGTATAAGAAAATAAAACAAAGTTGTTTCTGATTTCAAGATGTTAGGGAGTTTGTTGGTTGTAGTACTGCAGTATATTAAACACCGCTCCGTAATTCTTACCAGAATAACAGCCTTTCTTCGCTAAATATGATGGCGTCAACGCTCGAGAGATTCACACTCCACAGTCGCTCACGGTGCTCCTCCGCGTTCTTCTATCTTTTAAACCGAATCTCCGTGTTTGAGCTAAAGTTTCTCGCTAACCAAACAGCGGGTTTGTTTCAACTTTGTCCTTCTCATTGAAGCATTGGAAATAATGACTGACCTTGCGTGTGGCCATCAGAGACGCTTGTTACTTGTTTAAAGACATATTCATGATGTATAAATGATCTTCATGCTTTTAAGAAAAAAAAAACACACACACAAGAGTATAACTTCGAAAACTATATTTTGCAACCATCCTTGACTTAATAAGTATCCAGAACGTTTATCTTCTACTATGAAAGTCAAAAAAGCGAAAAAAATATCCCATATATAGTCATATTTTTAGTTTAGTTCAGATTTTCTATCAGCCTATCTAAATATTTATCCAAAATACTTGGAATAATTTACACTCGACTCCCCCGTCTATAGAAGTAGCTGCTACTTTTTATACTAATACAACGTAGCTATATAACAAAATATGTAGTCTGCAGAATGGCTCAAAGACTCATTATAGATGTAATCCTCTTAAAACTAGATAGATTCTAAACGCATATAAAACAAAAAAAACTGTTTTTCAATTAGCCAAACATGTTTAACGTATCCGTTAAGTGCAAACATATAATCTGTTATTGTGTGTTTTCCGTGCATGGGTCTCCAAACACTCTCACAGCTACCCCTGTGTTTGGTAAGAGAACACCCGAAACGAGGGTTTAAAAATATGATAGCAAACTGTACACCCCCTATATATAAAAACATCCCCTATATAAAAAACATTTTCTCTTGTATCTTCAGATGAGGGCATTTTATTCTTATACCAACTGAGAAATTGTGCTTGGAGGAGTTAAAGATAGATCAGATATCGAGGTAGGAAA